GAAGCGAGAACAGAATTTTTCACATAGCGTTCATTAGTTTGAAATGTTTGAATATTAAAATTAATCAAAAAAGTACTGAAAGATAATTATGCAAATTAAATTAAGGAAAGACTTAAGACACGAACTTTTCTTCATAAAAAATTAAAAATGTTTTCATGTTTCAATGGACAATTCACCCTAATGATAAACTATGTGGAAACTTAAATAACCCAGACTTCCTCTGGCTTAGAATTAACAATCGTACACTCCCCTCTCGTTCTTAGCTCTTTTTTCTAGTTTTTTTTTCGATAGCAGAAAGTTCTCCAGACTTTTGTTCTTATTTGATCCTGCCTGAAAACGTTCACGATACTTGTTCTGAGTGGTAACGTTCCCGAAAACATTTTGTTCTCATGCAGAGCTAAACCAAAATTGGAAGGAGTTTTCGGTCCTTGCGCTCAACTACTGTATTGTGGCATGTATGGAGCTTCATCCACAGCGTCCGACTAGCCCCCGGTGTCTTATATATATATATTCCCAAAAATGTTTTGTTGTTGTATTTAAAAAGAAGGATCTTTATCTTTTGGTCAGATTGCCGACTTCGGTTTCAACTAGAAGAGGCTTAAACTGACCGGAAGTACATTTTTTTAAAAGGGGCATATCGGACACCGTCTTCAAAAGAATCACATATCAAAACTTGGCATTTTGGATTAACTTGAATTATGCGCAAAAAATGTGCACAGAGCTTTTATTTACCTTCTATATCTTTTGTTGGAATCGTTTTTTTCTTGAATGGACTTCCGGTTAAAAGAATGCACTACCGGTCGAAACCGGAGTCGGTAATACTAGCTTCCCGACTTGGTGATTCATATTTTTTCGTTTTCCAATAAAAACATTCTCATTCATTTTTTAAGTTCAGGACGAGTTAAAGTTCGAGGGTCATTTAGATGTTGAAGAAGGTCACAGGTGAGGCACTTCCGATTAAAAAAAAATTCAAACAAAAGTTACGTATTTCTATCCCCAGAATTCAAATGTGTAGTAAAAACATGTATGTTTGTTTATGGGTATTAAAAAATGGACTTCCGGTTACTTTAACCCACTTCCAGCCAGTACCATCTCTCCTGGGTCATACAAACCCCACAGCTAGGAAGCCAAGTGCAAATGCCAACCTGCCCAAATCTCACCACTACAGCTATACACATTACATATATATGTATATGTATACTATGTACATGTGTGTACACAGAGGAAGAAAACTATGGAAATGGAAAAAAAGAGTGCAGTTGAACGATTTGTTTTGAAGATAAACAATAATATTTTCATAACTAAAACAATCCTGCTGTCTGCGCAAACACGTCAGGCAATGCAAATACTTGTACATACATGCACACAAACGTATGTACAAATGACTGGGAAAAGAGATGCAAACCTAGATTTAAATATTCATGTAATAATTTCCCAGTTCATATCTGCGTCAAGCAACTTCTGCCACAGCTTCACCAACATACATATGTACGCAGTGCGTAATACGCTCATGTCTAAATTTTATAGAATTGCATGAAAGTAAAATGTACTTCAACGCCAACCAAGCCAGCGATACTAACCGTCATCAGCTTCCAAAAAGCCCAAAACCTATCAGCTTCAATGGGAAGGAGCGCGTGCGGTTGAGCATGCGATAATTGGCATTTCTACAAGACAAAAACGTCGCGGCAGCTGTGGGAATTGTGGGGGGCATTCATGTCATTCCTTCTGCATATTACAAGTAAAGTCTGGATATGAGATTTGTTTGCTTTATTGCATAAGTGCCATAAGTGACATTGCATGCTTGGAATGTCAACATTGAGAACAGCAAGAGCTATCTATGGAAAAACCCTACTTGTTTGCCGCAATTTGAAGTACTGAGTGTCAACTGAAATTGACTGTTCACGCTCTCGTCTAACTGCATCGTTCTTAAATGTGTGAGGTTTGGTTAAGTGTGCAGAGGATAAGAGTACAGTTTTGCGGCATTTGGTAAATGAAAATGGCAAAATTGCTTACAATACGTGTAGACACGTACATATGTACGAGCAGCATTTGTATTTCCGAAAAATGCATGAAAAGTTTTAAAAGCGTAGCTTAAGCGCCATGACCTAAGCGAATGTGCAGGAAGTTATCTACTATTTAATTTAAAAGTAATATTATATACATATATGATAGAGAAAACAAAAAACGTTCGATAGATCTTCCTAATTTCTAAAATAAAATACAAATTTAAAATGCAATATATTCTACTTAAGCGATAGAATGGTCAATGGCCGACTAAGTGATGCCCAATCGTTTGTAGGTGATTGATAGATGACTTTCAACCCCTTTCAAAGCACGCGCTTTCTTGAACAATTTTCTGAGGTGGGGCGTTTTCGAACCGGCTGCCGAGATAGCCGTCGATCTTCCACTCAGCCGTCGATATGTGCGTATGCTACAATTTTTTTGGCTTTTTGGCTTATCCTCGGCGGACGTATGTTACTTTTAATAGAAAATTCCAATACAATTTTATTTGAACAGAACATTTTCAGCAGCAGCAACGTGCCCTGACTGACTGTCCATTCGCGCAAAACTCCGTATTGGGAAAACGCAGCGCACATTGTATTTATATAAAGGAATTTTTGCTTTGCCGGCTTTTGTGAACTGGCCTTTTGTTTTTGTCTGCCAAAAAAGAGTTTTT